TGTTTTCATTCTAGCTTTGTGTGTGTGTGTGCGCACGTGTGCACCAATACTAGGGCTTGAACTCGGGGCCTTATGCTCTTCCTGTTTTTATCACTAAAGGCTGGTGCTCTAACACATGAGCCATAGCTCCACTTCCAGCTTTTATGCTGATTAATTAGAGGTAAGATTCTCTTGAATGTTTCTTTCAGGGCTGGCTTTTAAGTGAGATCTGAGGATCTCAGTAGCTAGGATTACAGGTGTAAGCCACCAGCACCCAGCATCTTTACAGTTTTTTGTAGATTAAAAAGATGAAGTAACTCACCAGAATATAAACTGACGTTTAACCTGAAATATTTAAGCTCGCCAGAACATGCATTGATTAGGAGATGTGATCACTATATATACATTAGATCATGTGCTTTTAAATTTAAATACATGTATTTCAAAGCCTCCTTTGTAACTCAATATATTTAACTGGTATAATATTTTTCCTTTATGTATACTAGTCAGGTACAAAAATAACTGAAATTGGGTAATGTAGCATTTGTCACCTGTATTAATTGCTGAGGCAGGAGAATAGCTACAGCCTAGGAATTTTAGGATAGTCCAACACTTTAGTGAGACTTCTATCTCGAAGGAAAAAAAAAAAACTACCCACAAATATAACTGAAAATGTCAGCAAAGGTGGTAGACAGGAAAGTTAACTTGTCAAGAAGCCCTGACAGGAACCTTCAGAAATTCTTCTTAAATGCTTCTTATGTGAGCATCTCAAGTTAAATATAGAGATACTTTGTATGGCCTCAGCATGGTGTTGAACACCTGTATCCCAGCAATGAGAAGGCTGGGCAGGGGAATCTTGAGCTTGAGGCCAGCCTGGGCTATAGTTAAGCTCAAAACAGTGTAAAACTACATATTGAGACCCTGTCTCAAAAACATCTCTGTCTCTGCTGTCAGTAAACAATTAAAAAAAAAACCTAAGTAATCTGTTAAGTTTAAGGGAAGGCAGGAAATACTATGTCCAATGAAATACCTTTTATTTCCCTCTGATACTTGGGCTTGAATCAGGGCTTATACTTTTACTCAGTTTCTTGTTTACTGCTATTGCTTTACCAGTTGAGCCATGCTCCAGCCTAGCTTTTTGCTTCTTAATTGATGATGGAGTCTGAGGGAATTTTCTGTCAGGGCTGGCTTTGAAGTGAGACCCTCTGGATCTCAGCTTCCTGAGTAGCTAGAATTATAAGTATAAGCCACTGACACACAGCTTGAAGTACCTTTCTAAATGTTTTTGTAGTAATCCTGATTATCCTGAATCTTCACTGCACAGGACAACTTTTATACTGCTACTAAAATTTTCAGTAAGTTATGCTAGTAGTGATTTCTTGCTTTTATTTGGTTTTCTTAGTAGATTCACTGCTACTCCAGGAATTATTTTTTAAGGTCTGGATGTTATTTATTGATGATAGTTAAAAATATGGAATGCTTTGTGAATTTGTGTGTCATCCTTACACAGGAGCTATACTATTTTTCCCTGAATTGGTACTATTTATTATATTTGCTGCTGAAATGAACAGTCTGGGTAATTTCTTATTTTTGTGGTACGGATGGCATGGAAAACATATGAAGTCATAATTGGATTTCCTTATCCTTTTTGCTCATCTGTGATGTAAAGAAAGCTCTGATTTTTCTTACATCCTCTTTCATTTTAAGGTCAATAGTATATAGTTATATTTTTAAAAGTGTGAATCAAGTGGGCTGGGAAGGTGGCTCAGTGGTAGAGTGCTTGCCTTGCATGCCTGAGGCCCTAAGTTCGATTCCTCAGCACCACATATGCAAAAAGAAAAAAGCCGGAAGTGGCGCTGTGGCTCAAGTGGTAGAGCGCTAGCCTTGAGTTGAAGAGCTGAGGGATAGCGCCCAGGCCCAGAGTTCAGGCCCCACGACCGGACCCCAAAAAAAAAAAAAGTGTGAATCAAGACATTTCTGAAGTTAACTTTGTGGTTCACAACTAGATTTCAAACAATTAAATAGAGCAAACAGCAAAACTAAAAATATATCGCAATAGTAAATATTGCAATAAATTATCCTTCAATCTTGTTTTTTCACTCTTTAGTCTTCACTAAAGATATGAGAAAGTTACAGAGCTACAGATACATAAATTCAGTTCCTATGTCTTACAAACACTGAGAATTTTACTACTCAAGGAATTAAAGTGCCTTCTACTATGAAACAAAGTCCAATTACAGAAATATATATATATATATATACATATATATATATATAATTAGCCATGTACTTAGCTTCTAAACATCATCTAGAATAGTTAATATGAACTCGGAAAGTATTTCCTAAGTTAGCAATAGTGTCATTTGCTTCACAGTGCAGCAATAACTCAGACTGAGAAGCTATTTACTTTATACTGTTAAAAAAAAATCCAAGAGGACAATGAGAAGTACAAGTTGTCA